TATATATATTATATTTAATATACTTACCATTATACTTACCCTTACAATTTCCTATAATTTACCCATCACTTTTTTCCGTAACAGTATTTTGACTAATTTGTTAATTTTTATAATTTTTTTAAAAAATTTCATTTAAATAAAAGAAAATAATTGGATACTTTTTTTATTTAATAAAAACATTAAATTTTAAGCTTTTATTTATAAATACTTGCTATTTAACTATATAAAATTTAAGTTATGTTATATTGAAACAATGTTAGCTTCGTGCGGCTTTAAGATGGACCGGCGATTTTTACAAATTTCGTGTAATTTCGCGAATTTTTCACTACGTAAGACGATCTGTAATATAATCCCATGCAACTAATAAACTCACGTTTTTTTACAATGCAAATGCGGATACATGTACACGTTCGGAGAACACCCTCATGTCTTTTATTTTGGGAAAAAATCTCTGCTATATTAGGGATCGTCATACAGTGAAATGCTACACGGAGAACACCTTCCCATAGCAGAGATTTATTACCAAAAATAAGTGACCGGGTGGCTGTGCAGCATATGTGCAGGCAAATTTATGTGAAGTTTCCGGATTATGAGAAATATAGACATGTGACATCGTCACGCAGTAAATTATCATTAACTTTGACATAATCGCCATCCTATGTGTCGGGTGACATAATCAGAAAACTATATATTATTACAGTACGGACAATACTGTACAATTGCTGTACGGGCAACACCCCCAAGTCGTAATTAATCTCTGCTACCTCCCACGTCTTTTATTTCTTTTATTTTGGGTTTTGGTTTCTATTTACGGCGCAGAGGGGGCGTTCTTTATGCGTCACTCGTGGCACCCTTACAGCACCTGTGCGTCCGTCACCTATGCAGGTGCAGCACTATGGATTTTCAAAGCAAATAAAAATAGATAATCTCTTCGTTCTTTGTTTTGCGAGGTGACATGCTACACGTGTCATTAAAAAACAAATGTTTGTAAGCCAAGTATAAGGAAATGTGCTTCTTTGTTTAGAGCAGGGTCATTAATATTATCCTTAAATATTACTGACCTAATCAAACGTAATACATATAGTTTGTAGTTTAATAAGTATGTCAAAAAAAATCAAGAGTGAATTTGAAAGTCGAGAAATATTAATGCGACATTGATGGTGAGCTACAATATGCTTACTACTTTAAGTTGGCTAAAATCTAAAAACGATCGATTCCATTTATACTTTAGTGACTTATTTTATGTCAAGGTAAATATTCAATAAATACTTTTCTAGCTTTATTTTGGGGAACATACCGGATTCCAACTTTGAAATAGCTCAATTGAATAACGCTCTGACATTAATCATGAAAGACACAAAGGACACCCGAAAATAGCAACTAAACTCTGCTGTGTATTTAGTAACATGCATACAGTCTTAAAGGATAAATTCTTCTGCCGAAGCGATGCATAAAAGGTTGTTATCAGTTCAAAGAAATCAAGTTGAAACCGGCGTATATTGAAGTAAATATTTTAATTAAAAATACTGTATATACAGTATATGAAATTTTTTTTTTATGCAGCCTCTATCTAGATGCTCTATCTGTCATAAACCAAAATACCTTTTTTGATTTTAGTTCCTTTGAATTTTTGAATGAAGTCGTCGAATTACTTTTTTGCTGGTGTTACACGTCTGATATCTTATCTCAGTATGAAATTTAATATAAATTAAGTTTAAAATCATGTAACTATAAAATCGAAATGAAGATAAACTTAAAATTTTAGCAAAATGAAAAACGACATTTTTTGGAGCATCAAAATTTTCAATTATACTGATTTTGGTGCCTTCAAGCTTATTGATAAAGGTGGATATGGGAATATTTATAAAACGACTTATTCAGGAAAGGTTGTTGTTTTGAAAGAATTGAACAAAGATAAAGAGGAAACAATTTTGTATCATGAGGTAATAAGTGATTTTCAAATCAAGGAGCCATGAAAAAGTAGTTTCTCATTCCATTTTTTTTTTTCAAATTTTACAGATAACACTTCTCAAAAAAGTTTGTCCCCATCCAAATATCAATACACTCCTTGGAATTACTAAAGGTTTTTATTAGTTTAAAAATTTAAAGTTTGTAAATTTATTTATATAAATTTAATTTATGTTTGCGATATAAATTAGTTCCAAAGAATGAACGTGTTATGATGGTCTTAAACTATGCAAACGAAGGAAATTTCTTTAATTTTCTTAAAGAAAATTGGAAGAATTTAATTTGGAAAAAAAAGATAAAATTCGCCCTTGAGATAGCAAACGGACTTGAACACTTACATAAATTTGAAAT